TAAAGAGAGAGATAGAAGAAGATCTTAGAAGGAAAAATGTACCCTGTTCATGGATAGGCAGAACTAACATCATCAAAATGGCGATATTACCCAAAGTTCTCTATAGGTTTAATGCAATGCCAATCAAAATCCCAATGGCATTTCTTGTAGAAATAGATAAAGCTATCATGAAATTCATATCACAACTATTTTTACACTTTATCCTCTACAGTTTTATGAATAAGATAGCATGGGCAGATGGCATCATAATATGTTCAGTTTGGTTTCCTTTTTTTGTACTACAAATTGAACCCAGGGATGCTTAACTACTGAGCCATATCCATATATATATAATTTAAATTTTGTGTCAGAGACTCTCTAAGTTGCTTAGGGACTCCCTAAGTTGCTGAGGCTGGCTTTGAACTTGCAATCCTCCTGCCTCAGTCTCCTGAGCTGCTGGGATTACAGGCTGTGCCACTGCACCAGACTCCCTGTTTTCTTTTTAGGAACAGTGCCTGAGATAGTATGTGGAGACACCGCAGTGGGCTGTCCCTCTGTGTGAAGAGGTCTGAGGCTGGCATTCTGTAGGACTGTGGAGTTTGTCTTTAGATTGGGGCTAATACGCACTTTCCTCCATATTTCAATCAAATAAATGATCCAATCTTCTTGGAATAATAGACAATCTCAGGTATCTTAGATATCTGAGACTGTATAATCAATGAAAAAGAACATCTATTTCTACATCTTGACCAGGTACATCATGTACAAGAAAATTAATAATCTATAATTCATCTTGAGTCACTTAACTTAAAAATGCAGTTTTGTATTTGCACAGTAAATCCTAAATTAACTAGAAGTTGATCAACTACTTTTAAACCATTTATTCCCAATTCCTACAAACCTTTGTCTTATGTAGCCTTCCACTTTAAAGAAACAGGCAAATGAAAAATACAATACCAACAGTAAAATCATCAAAAATTTGTAGATTTAAAACAAGTTCAGAGCACTATCTCTTACTAGAGTAGTTGAATGAAGGGCTGGGGTTGTGGCTCAATGGTAGAGCACTTGCCTAGCATGTGTGAGGCACTGAGTTTGATGTTCAGCACCACATAAAATACATAAGTAAAATAAAGGCACTGTGTTCCTCTATAACTAAATATGTGTGTGTATGTGTGTGTGTGTGTGTGTGTGTGTGTGTGTGTGTTTGTGTGTGTATTAGTACCAGAGAGGATAGAGCTACAGAAGGAAGGAATTCTTAACTGTTCACATGAATCCCGTGAGTCTTTGGGTTGATACCAATCTGAGCATGCATGGGGGAAACCTCAGAAGGCCAGACAAAAACAGGTTCTGTGGAACAAACTACTGGGGAGCTGTGACATGAACAATCTCAGAGCCCACATACCTGGGAATCTTTGAGTTCTCCCCCGAGACCTTACTGAACACAGAAGAATCCATAGAGACCACCAAAGATCCCAACCTAGAAGACGGACTAAATTAGCCCACTGTCTTCCAGCAAAGTGATCTTTAAAGTCTCAAACTAATCTTCAAGTAACCAACATCATCCTGCTATTTAAAGTCTGACACTTGGGGTTGGGGTTATAGCTCAAAGGTAGAGTGCTTGCCTCGCCCATGTGAGGCACTGGGTTCAATCCTCAGCACCACATAAAAAATATTTAAAATAAATAAAGATACTGTGCCCATCTTTAATTTTTTTAAAAAAAAATTCTGACTCTATTTTTTAAAAAAAGAAATATAGCAAAAGTATCACAACACAATATAATTTCACAGTGTTCAGCATCTGATAAATGAGTAGACACAAGAAAACTAGAATATGCAAATTAATAAAAATAGAACAACAAATGACAGGAATGATGGAATTAACAAAAAAGGATGTTGAACGAAATTATATCTATGTACCATGAACTCAAGGATGTAGAGAAAGAATTAACATTTTCTTGGAAGATGAGATAGTAAATATTTTAAGGCGTGTAGGAACCTACACTCTTTTCACAGTTACTCAACTTTGTCAATGTAGTGTGGTAGCAGCAGAGACAATGGGTATGTGTTATGGTTTGGATACAAAGTGCCCCCAAGAGACTCAAGTGTTGAAGGATTGGTCCCCCAATGAAGCCATGTTCAGAAGTGGGATCTCTCTCTCCCCCCCACCCCAGCTGCCATGAGCTGAACAGCTTTCCCATGTCAAGCCCTCTCATCATGATATTCTGCCTCACCTAAGGCCCAAAGCAATGGCATGAGCAGACCATGTACTGAAACCTCTGAAACTATGAGCCCAAATAAATATTTTCTCATCTTAAGTTATCTATGTGAGGTATTTTGTCACTGCAATGAAAAGCTGATTAACACAGTATGACTGTGTTATCATAAAACCTTATTTATAAAACAGGTCCACAGCCTATAACTTGCTGATTGCTAATGGTGAGGAAAGTATTAGCATAATGAAGACAGAAAGTGGACAAAATAAAAATGATCAAATAACACTTTCTGAGATTAAGAAACATAACATATTAAATAAAAAAATATACCAGATAAGATTCACATTAGATTAGATATGGCAGAAATATAGATTAGTGAAGTTGAAGATAACAAAAGAAGTTTAAACAAGATACAGTATGGAAAGAAAAGACCCGGGAAAACAATAATAGGGTATCAGTGGGACACTTATCAAGCTGTCTAAAATTCTTCAGTTCAAAAGTGAAAAGAACATGGGATAGAAAATGTTTGGAAATACAAAAACTGAGAAAAATTCCAAATTTGTTAGTATAAATCCAGACATTCAGTAGCTTAAAAATACCCAAGCAGAATTAATGTGAAGAAAATAATAAGTATAATATAATTGCTAAAAAAACAGTGACAAGAAAATATGAAAACAACGCAAGAATAAAAGATGTACCATGTAAAAGGTGCAAAGATAAGAATAACAACAGACCTCTCAGAGAACCATGCATGTGCCCGAAGTTAATGAAGAGACCCTTTAAAGTCCTGCAAGGGGGTGAAACACTGTCAAGCCAAAATTCTACACCTAGTGAAAATATTGTTCAAACATGAAGGTGAAACAATAAATTTGCACACAGATGAACATCAGAAAAACTTAATCACCAGCAGCTTTGTACTAAAAGAAATATTAAAGGAAAGTGATATCAGAGGAAAGTTTGGAGATACCCAAAGAAATGACAAGTACCCAAATGGAAAATATGTGGAAAGGTATAAAATATATCTCTAATCTCTTTAGAAGATAACTGACTCTATAGCGAAAATAATAACAATGCATTGTGGGGTTTATAACAAGCAGAAGTAAAATATACGATGACAATAGCAGAAAGGCTAGGACACAGGAAGGAAAGCATACTGTTGGAAAATTATTATGCTCTCCTTAACAGGATGTAATATTATTTGAAGGTAGAGTCAGATAAGTTAAGGTATGCAAATTGTTAATCCTAGAACAAACACTAAAAATAATAAAGCAAATACATATGATTAAAAGATCAACAATGAAGATAAAATGAATTACTAAAAATTACCCACTATAAAAATTGCAGAAAAATATAGGGGAAATGGAAAAAAGAACAGATAAAACAAATGGAAAACAAGCAGCCAGGTGACAGATTTCAACCTACTGTATCTATAGTCATGTTAAATCAAATGAAAATAGTTAAAACATGCCACGTAGAGGCAGAGATGGTTAGGTTGTATGAAAAGTAGCAAGCAAATCTAAGTCGTGGTGGCTAAATCAATATGAGACAAGGCGGATTTATAAACAAAAACCAAAGGTGAAATAGGTCATTTTATAACGATGGAAGGACCAAGTCATCAAGCGGATTTAACAATTTCAAACATGTTTGCATCTAATAATGGAGTTTCAAACTCCAGAAAGCAAACACTGATAGAACTGAAAGGAAAAATACACAGGTTCACAATTATAGTTGGGTATCTTATCCCTTTTTTTAGTACATAATGGAGCAGGTGAGCAAAATAAATAAATAAATAAAAATAAGAAGAAAAAGCCTAACTGACATCTGTAGAATACTTTGCCCACCAAAGTACACTTTTTTTCAAGTACATCCCTCACCAAGTCCATATTCTGTATCATAAAACTAGTCTCAATAAATTTAAAATAACCAAAATTATACATATGTTTTCTTTCTACGAAGAAATTAAATCAGAAATCAAGAACAGAAAGTTGTTTTGAAAATCATCACCATAAATGTGGAAATCAAACAACACACATCTATATAACTCAGAGAACAAGAAAAAATTCACAAGGGAAATGAGAACATATTTTGATTCAGGGAAAGCAATATTTTCTGAAAAAATTAATGGCTTGAAATGCCTGTATTAGTAAATAATAAAAGTTTAGTCAGTGTTCTAGGCTTTTAACCTAAGATATTAGAAAAAGAAAGGCAAATGAAGCCCAAAGCAAATAGAAAAATGGGAATAGTAGAAATAATAATAACAAAAAATAAATACCAAATAAATAAATAAATACATAAATACAAATAATAAAGAAATAAATGTGTGAGGCCCTGGGTTTAGCTCTCAGCACCACATAGAAATAAATAAATGAAATAAACAACAACAAAAACCCAAACCATTTACAACTAAAAGTTTTTTTGAAACAAATAAACAATTTTTAAAATATTCTTAGGGACCAAAAAATATCCCTACCCTTACACGATGCTCTCTTATTGCACATGGTTTGTTACTATCTGGTGAGATTTTCATTGCAAATACTGAAATTTTTTTTTCTTAAATTCTATTCAAACTTCCTTTGAAAATTCTAGCCTGTCTCAGGGAATAGGAGGAAAAAAAAAAGGAAAGAAACCTTTATCTGTGTTTGAGCTGACTATAAAGGACAGTCCATGTCCCTCAGGAGAAAGGCCAAATCCAGGGACTACTAAGGGGAAAAGGTCAAAGGTCCCACCACTGGGAAGTCAGGGTCTGGAAGTACCAATTGCTCCTGACAGAGCCCCCATTGGTTCCACGAGAGCTTTCTTCAAGGGCTTCATAGTCTGTGAATGTGGACACAGGTGGAAAGTGATTACATCAGAGTAAAGCCGCCACTCTAGGCATAGCTTTTGCCAACATCATTCTGCTATAGGTTGAAATGTTCCTTCATTCCTATGTTGAAACCCTAACTTCCAGCACCTCCAAATGTAAATAGGGTCATTGCAGATGTAATTAGCTAAAATGTGATCATACCAGACTAGGATTGGGTCCTAATCCAGTATGACTGCTGTCCCTACATAAAGAGGAGATTTGAAAACAAACACACACACACACTACACACACACACTACACACACACACACTACACACACACACACACTACACACACACACACACAAACACACACACACAAACACACACTAAAACAGGGAGGACACACGTGAAGATGAAGACAGAGATCAGGCAATGTTTCCACAAGCCAAGGAACACTGAAGAGTGTCACAAACCCACTATGAGAGAGGCAGGGACAGATTCACCCTCACAGCCCTCAGAAGGAACCAATCTTCTTGATGCCTTGACTGAGTTCTTCCAACCTTTGGAACTGCAAGAAGACAAATTTCTGTTGGTTCAGTCACCCATCTGTGGTGACAAGTTCTTACATGCCATTAGTACCCAGGATCAAAGGGACTGACTGTAACTGACTGCCAACGTAGAAGCTGAATCCAGCAACTCCCTTCCTGCTAATTTAACCTGGACAGTGACTTCAGGAAATCATAGAATGTTGTTTTCTGAACTGTGATAAGGAAAGGAAAACCAAGTGGGTGTAGAAGAAAAGTCATCTCAATTTACCTTCTTATCTTCTGAATCTGAGTTACTGGACCTTTCAAAAACTAGTTAATCATGAGGTTAGCTTCCATTGGGGAGTAAGGAGACAGAGATGTAGAGTTTCAGTAACAGTAGAGAAAGAATAATTAAGAAAGAAAACCCATATCTTGCAAAAGAGCAGAACAGTGCCCTTCAACCTTGTATGTTTACTTTCTGTGTACCTTTCTATGTAAAAACAGTGAATTACATCATATTGAATGTTAGTGACTGGGCTGACTAGGAAGCACCAGCTCCTTATTATTTACCTGGAGTCTGACTGCAGATTTAAGAGCCTTCTTAACCTCAGAATCTCATTACCTGCAGATACTATTCTAGGCCTCCTCCTCAGCCCTCTGTAAACAATGAAGAGATGAGTACCAGTAGGCAAAAGTAAAGAAAGTGCACTCTTACCTCCATGCTTGTGCTGAATGCTCTAGTAACTTTTGCTTTGATGGTTATAACTTGTCCAACTCTAGCAAAAAAAAAAAAATTTTTTTTCAGTAACCTGAACACATTTTATTTCAGATTTAAAGACTCACTTAAATCTTTCATGTGCCATAAAGTATTTCCACCTTAGCTTGCTGTTAATGTTCACATGAAACACTCAGGTTCATGATAACAGGAAAGATAGGGCTTAAGGGCAAATGCTGGTCATCATAAACCACACTCAGGTTAACTGACTCCCTCTATTCAAACAGAAAAAAAGGGCTTTGCAAAGGTAGAATGCAAGATGACTTCAAATTTGCAACAGATACTTGGACTTTTTAGAAGCTCTTTCAAGCTACTATACAAGTTAAGACAAACACACAGGCAAACTTATACAACTTATATTTATTTTAAAATGTTAATAACTAAATGGATGAACGAACTACAAATAAGCAAGCAAGTCCACTAGTTAATTTTGATAGATTTACATGTGTCCTCTTTGCTACTAGAAGAGCCGTTCATTCCCTGCTACTACTAGAACTCTGATCATGTAATTTGAAGTTGTTTCAAAACTCTTGTATTCAGGCCCTTCTGTCACTTCTGATCCCTTTACCCTAGCAGAAGTTAAGAATCTGTCCAATATGAGCACCCTTGATTTTTCTCCCTTAAGTGCAAAATTGAACTATATTCTCAGTGTCTTCAGAGACTCCAAGACTCTTCTACTTCAGAGGAAGGAGAAGGTTTCCTCATGATCTGATCTCTTGTCTTACCTGTGCTCTTGACCTTTCCCTGCTCTGTCATTTCTACTCTCTTGAACCTTCCATCTCTACCCTTCTCTCTTTTTTACTCTTTGAAAATGTTTAAGGCTTCTCCTATTTAAAACCTTTCTTTAAAACCTATTCTATTTTAATATTTTTTTCTCTTCTGCATATGAAACTCTCTTAAAAGAATCATTGATTTTTTCTACCTCACACATTTAATGACTGTTTACTGAGGACTAGCCCTGGTGTTCAGCTAAGGTGTTAGGTACAGTGATGGGCAAGACTGGGTTGCTGGCTTCAAGGAGACTAGTGTTTCTTCCGGACACAGATGTATAAACAAAGTTCAAAAGATTATAAAAGACTGATCAATAAATCATTAACAATAAAAGCCCTTGTCATTAATTAAACAAAGTACTGTTTCTAGTGTGGCCATTGTAGTAACTATGACTGTCCTTTATTAGTACTATGTGTAAATCAGGCACTAAGCTGAATGCTTTGTATAATATCTGACATGTCACTCACTGGCAAGGACCCTGTGAGGGAAGTAGTACTGTTCCCATTTCATTCCCATCAGAAAATGGACTTACAAGGCAATGGAGTCAGCAAAAGGCAAAGCCAAGAGTTCAAACCCTGGTCTTATCTGACTTCAAAGGCTTGAACTATTCTTTACCAAGGCCCGACTTGGGCTCTTGGTAAAGAATAGTTATTAATTCCATTTTAACAGAATTAATTTAATCCCCTCTAGAGAGGCTTGTGAAGATATATTAAGGACTGTCTCCAAAGTGAATCAGTTGGGTTTTCCTAGAAGAGTGACCACATCTGATTAATGCCTTTGTGCATACATTGCTCCTCTACGTAGTGTACCTGTCATAATCTGTAGCATTTCAATCAGGAAGACTGGAAGTAAAGGAAGGAACTTAACACAGACATGCAGATGTACATTTAAGTAATTAATAACTATGTGGGAAATTTGAACAAATCTATGCTTTTATCACAGTTTTACTAGTCCTTTGCCCACATAATAATCCTCACAGAGAAGAATTTGTCAAGATCTAATAAAATGAAATGTACCTTTACCCTTTGACTCAGTAATCCTCTTTTTAGGACTCTATCCCAAAAATACACTGTAAAATCATGGACATATGCCTGCACAAAATGACATTTTGAAATATTTGTAATAGCAAAAACTGGAAACAATTTTTAAAATTTATCAGTAGGGACCAGAGGAAAAAAATAGGGCATCTACACAATAGACTACCATGTAGCTAATTACAAGGAATTCTGAATATCTCTGTACATTGCTACAGAGTGTTTTTCTATATATAATATTAAGGGAAAAAAAGGTGGAGAAAAGTATATACAATGTGTTAGAATTTGTTTTTAAAAGGACATGAATATATGTAAATACTTGTTTACAATTAAAAAATTTTTAAAAGTCAGAAAGTAATTAAAATGGCTATTTATAGAAACAGAAAGGTGCTTGGATAGAAGCTAGATAAGAGCTTAATTTCCCAGAGCCAAATGTATCTGGTTTCCAATAAATTATGAAATAAAATAAAAAATTAATTCCAAAAAAATATAAAACAATTGAACTTATCTACATGTGAAGTTGGCAATTTAACCATGTAGCAGAGAATTATTTCAAGTGGCTTCAAAATACAGTGATTGTTGTTATATTACTATGTCTTTCAAAAGTGTACTGATCTTTTAGAAATATACTGATAATTATAGATAATGACTGGAATTTGCTTCAGAATAACCCAGTCATGTAGGGAAACATAGAAGGGTACAAGAGTGCAAGATTTGATTATTGATGTAGTTAGGAGATAAGTCCTTGGGATACACTATACAATTTTCTCTAATTTTACATATGTTTGAATTATTTGTTTAGTTGAAATTTTCTGCATAATGAGTTGGTAAAGCATATTAAGCACTTTCACACATAAAATGTTTTTCATATTTTACTGTCTCTATTCAGATGAATTAGTGTTTAGCCAATCTAATGACGAAATTCACCATTGTAGAGACACTTACCATCATTAATTATTCTATAAGTAGAGAAATGAGCCATTAAGAGTCAGGTGCCAGATAGCTTGCTATGCATGACTCCACGATGCATCTTATGCTGAGAGTTGCTTCTCAAC